AAAAATAAGAGATGGTAAAATAAGAGATATACAGATATATCCAGAATGTCAAATCACATATAAAAAAAATTTGACATTTATTGAAAGCACATAGAAAAATTTTCACAAATCGTCACCAAGTGTCACCTCACCTTTGAGGTGATGCTAGAGAGAGAGGTGCTGCGAATCAGCAGATTTTGCTGCGCCCTCACACAAACACGTGTATTTCTTATGGGAGCTAGGCTGCTGCGTATCCCTAGGCCCACTTTGACTTGACGCAGCACATATAAAAAAAATGGTTTTGCTGTACACAGCGAGACGAAATTTCTGTGCACAGCGGGATGCTCTCTTCTGTCTTTTTGAGAGTATTTATTTTTTTTTAATAAATAACAAGTTAGATTCAGCGTTGTCAACTTTAAAATTTCAAAAAGCACCAAATTGAAAAAGCACTAAGATAAAATATTTTTCAGTTTTTAGAGGAGCTATGATCAGTTATGGAGCGATCGTAAAACCATTTTATAGTAATATATCTGTGTATATAAGCAATACTTGTACCAATCGGATATCTTAATTTAGTAATGAGTTATGTGTGTTTAAGTAATTCTGGAGGGGACCTTGTATGAGAGCTATAACTAGTTATGGACCTATCGGAAAAAAATTCCTCAGTAATATTTCCGTGCATATAAGCAATACTTGCATCAAATTTTACATGGATATCTTAATTTCACAGTGGTGAAATGTTATTAATATACTTTTTTACAATTGTTAAAAAAGTAAAAGTTCCAGTGCTACATTCAACCAGTGTTTTTAAAAAAATTGTGAAACATGTCCCTAATCTTAGGCTGGAAATCCACAAAAATCCCATTTTTAAATTAAAATCCCCAAAATCATCATCATGTCTCAGCAAGTCATGTTGTCCCACAAAATGCTTCATCTGAAAGCATAGTCGCCATATGATACGCTACACCAGTCAGTATGTTAAAATGTGGATTATAAAAATAGGCGTTTTTAAGTTTATTCCAGAATATTTTTACCTTTTTCAAGAGGGCTAATAGGGAAGTATGGGTAAATATGGGCCTATACTTATAATTGTTGGTAAAGGAAGTTACGTCTACTTTAAAGTTATTGGTTTTCCAATCAGATTGTAATTGAAATGGATCTGGTTTTGTTTCAAAGAATATTTTCTAAAAATAAGATAAACATAACTTCCTTAGAAAAAATCTGTTCATAAGGGACCCATATTTTTATACATAGGTCTATTTTTCGAAAATCACAATATTAATATAAATATTGTGATAAATATTGATGTAAAACTCACCAATTTCTCTTCTAAATATTTAAAATTTCCATATAAATCTAAATTTTCACGAAATAATTCGCCCAACTTTTTGCGATGATCTTCAAACAAATCAAGATCACTGGAAAGAGATTTATCATACATTGTCGACAGAGGACCATTCTCTATAAAATAATTGGCCGAAGCAGCATGCAATTGTGCTAATTTTTTCAACACCGCTTTAGTATGTAACAAATCCAAACCCAAATGTCGATTAAAATTCTTAAAACCTTTTAGTCTTAAATCTTCCAGTATAAGAACATCATCATCATCATCATCAGATATATCGATAAATTACGGCACAACTAAGTTTTATAGAAGTCTTGATGACCCTGCCAAATTTCATAAAGATCGGCCCCATTTGACCCTAGCTCCCATACAAAGTCCCCTTCGGAAAAATACTTGAATGTCCCAAATTAACTTATAAACACAAATATCGCGATAAAATTCAGCACAATAAAATATTATGTAAATATAAATATATTCACAAAATTTTATCGGGCTTGGTCCATATTTGCCCCTAACCCCCATATAAAGCCTCTTTCAGAAAATTAGTTTTTCATCCATAAATTGCTTAAATGTATCGGAACAAGGGAATATTGAAGATAAATGCTTTATTATGAAAAATAAATCACATTTAATATTCATAACTGGTGTAGGGTATCATATGGTCGGCCACGCCCGACTATAATTTCATGCTTGTTTTATTTTTATTTTCTGAATGAAAATATTATTTGTCGTGTTACGATCATTTTTTTTTTCATATTTAACTAACCCATTTACAACTATCCATACCCTAGCCTCCATATATGGACCCTTTAAGACAATGGTTTTATGACCATAGCAGTCTTAAAAATATCAGTATAGCAATGAAATTTGATGTATGATGTTGTTTTAGGATGGGTTCATATGTCCCTCATACATAAAATAAGTTTACAGTTAACAAATCTTTCAAAAATTAAGAAAGTATGAGAAAATTCTACAAAAATGATTTGTTTTTGAATATAATCACCCGTTTAAATTATATAGACCTCGGTCCACAATTATACTCAGATATGTGGCATTTCATTCACAAACAAATTTAATACGTTAATTTGTTCAAAATTTTTCTATATTTCTATAAACGCAAACGGCCCTAACTAACCAAAAATTCAAAATTGATTTTATTGTTGATTCTAATATATTGCATCAAAACAAATGCCCACACCAAAATTATCAATTTTATTGACAAAAAACAAAAGGCCCTATCTACAAAAACATTAAAATTTTAAAGGCAAAAACTCCAATTTATCCATATTTATATACGCCATTGTCAACTATTATAACAAATGATAAGTTTCACTATTAAACAATTTGTTTATTTACTACAAATAAATCGCGTTGATAGAAACAAAATTTTAAAATGTTAGATACGTCCGTGTTTTGGCTAGAATTTTTTATTAAAATTTTTAAAAGTTATATTGCTATGAGTGGCCTCCGGTAGGTTAGTGGTTAATGTTCTAGTCTGGTAGACCGGAGGTGGTGGGTTCGATTCCCACCTGAGGCACTGGTTAAGGAGCGCACAACAGGCCCGATAGAGGCCTAGGTGTATTTCTTCGGATTTGATGTATATACATCCTCCTTTCAAACTAACTAACTAACTAACTATATTGCTATGAGATATGTCTCACCATGTATGAAAAAATTAGAAAAAATATTTAATTTTTAGATTTTATAATATATTAGCTATACCCAGCGTGCTTTGCTACCCTAAAAGCAATATACACTTAACGATTTTGAAGATTCTAACTATAATTGTTTCTCATATATATAATGAGATGCCATTAAAATTATTGCAAGTTCGCTAATTTTTTCAAACGTTAATAAAGATTTAAATGTAACCTATGGGCTAGTCCGCCCACTTTTTGTCCTAAATAATCATATTGACACTAAAGTGGCTCCGACAAAATTTGAGGACTCTATCTGTTATATTTTCTCAGATATACAGATTTAATATTTTCTTCATATGGAAGATGCTACGCCCACTATAGTCAATCCGCCCATTTTATCCAATAATATTCTTATGGATGTCAAAGTTGCCCATACCCAGCAAAAAATAACTGATGTCATACTTTACAAACGACATCTTAATCACATCTAAAAATGCGATTGCATACTTTTAGCTTTTATAAACCAAACATATACTTACAAATTAAAACACAGTTAAAAATGAGAAAAGAGATGTAGAAAAGTCACTACAAACAACATATTCGAAGTACTTCAAATTTTGATGAAATTAACATAAGCGTTTCATTGAAAGAATGTGGTTTATTTTTGACATACAAATATCGGATTTTTACAGCTTCTAAAGATAAGATTAGATGTAGTTCAAAGTTGTCGTTATGATTTGAACAAAAAAAAAAAAAAAATAAAACTTAAGAAAAATTATTATTTTCTGAGTAATATATAAAACTCAAAGAATAAGTTTTTTAATAAAACTTAAAAAATAAAAAAATCATTGCAAATCATTGTTTTAACCGATAATGCTTCTTTAGAGAAAACAAATGGTATATTAAATTAACTTTTACTCTTAATCCTTGTAGGTATTTGATTTTTGTTTGTTTTAAATTTTAAGAATAATCATTATTTTCTGTCCCTGAAAAAAATCATTCAATAAAACAAAAAATGTACATATCGTCATGTGAAATCCAAAAAGCCCTAAGTTACATTGAACAAATTTTTCAGGAGAAGCAAAAAAACCTTCTAAAATGATAAATTTTCCAAAAATTGTCAACATTTTCTAAAGTTAAGCTTATTTTTTATTGACAAATTAGTATTTGAAGAAAAACTTGGGGTTTTATAGCCACAGCAAGGTTTGATGCGTTCAATACACAAACATGTACATTTCTTACTTAATTGAAAAACTTCATCTTTTGAGAAAAACTTGCATTTTCAGAGTAAGGTGCAAAATAAGAGTGGAACAAACAAAACTTAAAAATTAATCAATGAAAACATTATATATTTTTGAAGAATAAAGTTTAATGTCGCATAATTTCCAAACTACATATCCAATTCTTAGTTAAAAAAACTAAATGCGAGTGAAAGTAATCATCGTATACAGAAGATTTCAATTCTCTGATCCCTTTTCCTTTTTAAAGGACTTTCAGAGATATAAATTTTTGCTTAAATTTTTTCAAATATTTATAACTTGTGTTCATGGGCGACAAATTAAGTAGAACGGTCTCTGTAAATGGCAAAGATAAAATTTATAATATATTTTATTTTTCAAAAATTTTAATTGATAATAAATTTAAAGAACATTATTTACAATTTTTCAACTTGAGAAAATTATAACAATATTTTTTTTTAATTTAATTATCTGGATAACAAATTCAAAAACAATTCTTCACCATAGATACATATCTTCAAAATTTATTTTTATAAATTCCTTACCAAAATGAGGTTATAATGTCAACGACAACGTATACAAAAATGTTGATCTTTAGATATCTTTAGATAGCTGAAACTATATTATAATTTTAGTGTTAGTATTAGAATAATCGAAGATACCTTTTTTTATACTTGACTCAAATATGTATGTTTTTGAATTTATTATACTTAAAAACTTTTAAAAATAGTAATATTACCATATAAAAAATACATATATATTTTGTTAACAAAAATATTTTACCTTTTATCCTTGCAGGTTGTTTACGGTCCTGATGGTACACCTGTGCGTGCTGAATCACGACGAGGTCGTGGTAAAGCTAAAAATCCAACCGGAAATACAACACCAACAACTGGGGTAAGTTTTTTAAAGTTTTTTTTAAAAGCTTAATATAAATAAAAAGCTAAAACTAGCCCAGTCTCGTAAGATAATAACAAATATTTGAATACTGTTCTGACAGTAAAGCAGGAAGAAATTAAGAATTTTTTATTAAAACATTTTTATACTCTACACGACTTTAGTGCGCATAGAATTAATGGTCCTATACCCATTTTTTTTAAGTATACCAATCGGCTCAGAATCATTTTCTGAGAATTAGTGCAAAAGTAACAGTTAAATTCCGTCAAAAGTAAAAGAATCGCCAAAAATAGCAATAAATGTTAATACCAATTTGGGGAAAAATCACCGTCATATTAAAATACAAAATTTGTTTTACCAAAAAAATATAATACCTCATTTTAGGTTAAAAGTAAAAATTAAACTATTTATTACACTTGTTTATACTTTTTTGTCATGGTAAAATACAAACCATCATAACTCATAAATATGTATGTATATAAAAAGTCTATTAAACGGTTGTTAACTACTGCAAATGTCTATGAATGACTGACTGCCTGTCGTGACAATGAATTTGCACAAAATTTACGCGTAAACACTTGTTTTATAATATTTATGAATGTTTGTATAAACGTATGCTCATTACACCAAACATCATTGCACTTGAGTTTTATCATATGAGTAGATTTCTTAAGTAAAGCTGTTTTAAAAATTTCTTTGTTTTTTCCCCTTTTTCTTCTTTACAAAATCAACATGTAAGCCATTTAGGCTCGTTTGTATTCAACTTGAAAATGATGATGATTTATGAAAAAGTATAAAAGTGTTTGTATGTGTGTGTGTGTCTTGAAGTATTTTGCAAATGTCTAGCAAATGTCTAACGTCTGCTGTCACAAATTCATCAACGTCATCAAAGCCTTAGTCATATACATACATACATACATACACTTACACATATTAAACTAACTAAAAGAAATATGCAGACATGTTGAACATATATGAATTATTTTGTTAGACTTACGAAAATAAAAACCAAAGTGATTTTTGTTGCTATTCAATATCCCTACAACAATAATAATAACAAAAAAACATTGGCAACAACAGAAGCCGGAATAAACAAAATGTGTATTTTATACAAAAAAGTTGTTGATAAATGAACATTTTATTTTGTATCCCAAGAGAACTTTGAAAGAATGAATTTTTGAAAAGCAAAACATTTCCTGTTGGCAGTTTATTAAAGAATTAATTTTTAAAATACATACGCCCGTTCTCTCAATCTTCAGTTATCGTTTACATAATTGGTAGATATTCTGCCGGTTTAAATAATTTCTGCATGAAAACTGTCAATTTATCGTTAATATAAAAATTTGGGTCAAAATGTATTCAAAATTTTGAATAAAGTCAATATAATAAGAATACTTACCCAGCAAAAACTTGGTAATAACAAGTATTTTAAATGAACTAAGCAGTGATGTTGTGAGTACCATAGCCATTAACGAACTCGATACCCAGATTCGTATTCTTGGTCTGAAATTTGTTTGTGCTTAAAACAAAACAATTTTTACTTCCTATTTGTAACGACTTATTTAAGTACTTATTTGTAAGTGAGAGTTGCAAGGACTTGCCTCCAATGACATCGCTGTTTTAAAATAATAGTGAAATGTGGATTTCTAACTCATTACTTTTCAATTTGAGTTTTTGCTGGGTATAAACCAATATTGATTACTAACTTTCATGACGCAGAATCACAGAATCATTCCAATTCCTGTGTAATTAAAGCACCAATGCTTAAAACATATTTAATTAATGCAAAATATTTCTCACTAAGTCTTCATTAAAGTTTAAACCCACTGTTTACAAGCCGGCTTAATGTGTGTAGGAATGTGTTTGGAATGTGTAAGTATTATTTTATTGTCATCACTTGTTGATTGAATAGATGACTTAATCATAAAAAAAGCTAAACCAAACACAAAAGCCGACAAATGTGTGTGTCTACTGGCCATAAAGACGTCTTAAAGAAAGCGACAACAACAGCCACAAAATCATGTACGCTGTCAAGCGACCACCATCAAAGTAAAACTAAAGAAAAAGAGTCATTCAAATGTACGAGTCCAATAAACACACCTCTGAAGAGGAACAGCAAGCAAGAAAAAAAAGGCACAAAGCTCTTAAATTACCACAGACAGTGCCAAACAATTTGAAAAGAAAAAAAATTAATACACATTCGTACATACAAACATAACATATGGATAAATATGAAAAGTTACTAGACAGACTGGCGCCAATAATAATGATGACGACATCATGGATGACGATGACTAGTTAGTCCGTCTGTCCGTTTATCCATTGGCTACTTAACGGACGGTGTTGGTAACTTGATGACGATGATACCGATAATAATGGAAAGTATTTGCCCATAGTAATGATTTTGTTATGGCATTTATACAAAATACTCCAAAGAAGACAACAATTCATTGGCAATGAAATCCAAACCCATCCATTGGTGTCTGGTCGGACGACGATATTTAGTTTTTCGTATTCGCATTACGCTGCATGATGATGATATTTCTCTGAGTGTTGTATCAATTGAAGAAGTAATGAAGAAGAATTTCTTAGCATGCGTATTCATCCTGTTTGGAGTTTGAGTATTATAACGTCACCAGACTTGAACAGAAAGAAGACATTCCCCAGCGGCATTTGAGCCAATGTTCGTGTTAATACTGCAGACAACTGAAAAGACATTGTGGTCGAAATGACTTTGTTGTTGTTGTTTTCTCTTCCCCAGTCAATAAGGCAGCCAGCCATACATCGAACATACAAATGAAGAAAGGAGGCACGAATCGTGCCAAACCAAAACAAACTGACGGACCAACTAACTGACATGAAAAAGAGTCAATGCTTAAGTAAGTGGTTTGTTCTTTGATTATTGGTCGGTCGCTCATCGGTCTGCAATGAAACAAGACACATTTTTTATATTCATTCCCATTCTCAACGTCATCAGCACCACCATCAATGGCATGAACATATTATAACCAAAGCCATCATCGCCATCACCAGCACCATCACCAAGTCAAGTAAAGTAAAGTTTAGTTTATTTTTCAAGCAGTCAGTCCAAAGCGCCAGCTTGTATTAAGCTAATCCATATTGCTGGCAGTTGTTGTTTGTCGTCATCGTTGCTGTTATTATTGTTTTTCATGCAACACCATGCGTTACGTTGGCACGTCTCTCCATGAATTTATACAAGTACTTTTAGCAACCGACAAACATAGATTCAAAATCTTGGTCACACACCACAAACAGTTGGGGGAATTTTTTTTGTTTTTGTTGTTGTCTTGTCTCGATTTTTTGTTTTGGCAGTACATGTGTGTACATGCCGGTACACATGATTACGATTACGACCAACAACAGCAGCAGCAGTAATAGTGTCAGTCAACAGTGGCATTTAAGCAAAATGCCACCAACATCTAGACATTTAGTTGGACAGACTGCCAACAACTAAATAAACGCCACCAGACACATCACAGACAATCATTGTGCTTTTTCAGTTCTTTTTTTCCTTATATCATTTCTTTTAAGTCTTTCACGCAACAGAAGCAACAAGAACAAATATCAAGGAAATAAAGTTGCTGTTAATAGTTGTGGCAGCCAGCAGTACAAGTAGTTTAAGGTAGCAATTGCTTGTCTCACGTACAAAGGCATCAAAGTGGTAGCAAACCATTTAAACATTCATTCATCTGTTCAACGTCCGTTGTACGTTCCTTCGTTCCATCTTACTTTTATACGTTTGTTCGTTCCATTCATTGCTGTTGGTGGTTATGTGGATGATGACGTTCAATGAAAGACTTTTTATGCCAGAAGGGTCTAACTGTGCTTTGTGACGTTTTTTTATTATTCTCTTTGTTTCGTCTTGGTTGGAGTGTTTGTTTCTAGCTGTTAGTTTGTGTTTTGTGCAAAAAAAGTTTACAGCTTCAATTCAAACGTACAAAAGTAACTGCTTTTTTGAAAGTTTCTATCTTCTCATGTAAAATATGCAAGAAAAGGATTCGACCATTAAAAGAATGAATTCATTGAAATTAATGAAACTGAAAAAATTAATTGGTTTGTAAATCAAATCCATATGTATATCCAAATCGAATTATATTGTCGAAATAAATCTCTTCCGGTGCATCAAAGTAACACCCTTCCTCTTCCCAGCACAGCATTGGTCCAAAAGAAAATATTTAATTTCCAAAGCCTCTCACAAACTAACAACAACCTTTAAGGATCTGTTCAAACGAACATATGCAAGGGAATCCCAACAGTTTTGAAGATTTCCCTTTATGCAAGTTTTTACTCACTTTCAAACCAACGACAAAAGCAGCACGTGATGTGTTGGGTTAATAAGGCAGCAAAGATTACATAAAAGCACCGCATATCTGAACACAGACAGTAAGCATTATAAAATGTATTGCCAGAGCCATAAGCCAGACAAGCGGTCTACTTTTTATGCCAGAACTGAAACAAAAACTTAAACACAAACAAAAGAGAGATGGGAAAGTGTAAGTAGGAAAAAAATCATCATTACTAAAAGTATTTAACACGATGATGATGATGATGAGAACTGTAAAGCAGACTTCCTGAGTTCAGTTGCTGTTTTATCAGGAACTTTTACCGTTGCCATTCATTACCACTGATGTTGCTGTTGCTGCTGTGGAAAAGGCAAGGGCGTTTGATGTTTGGTAGTTTCATGCTTTCCACACCCAATGACTTTGACCTGTTATTGTACGTGTGTGAGTATGTGTGTGTGGGCTTTCACTGATGACATTGGCCATGAGAGACATTCAAGTCTTTTTTTCTCTCTTTTTTATGCTGGAAGTTTTCACTATCGTTTTCTTTCTTGTTGTGGCAGTATTATCCATCAAGGACGTTAAAGTTCCTTTGAAACGTTTCTTAACGTACAGACTTACGCTCATGTTCACGTACATACATACATATATTTCAATAACATCATGCATAATCGTACGCAGTAAAAAGTTGTTTAAAAA